TAAAAATTGAATATTTTTTGTGTTTTCCGGATTGAAGCACAAAGTTTATGCCACATGTTAAAGGGAAGTTTTGACACGAAAAATTATGAATAGAGCACGTTCTCTTTCCTTGAAGGTTTTATAATCAATTTTCGATTATAAAAAGGGGGAGAAATTTATATGGAAATGCCAACTTGAATTTTTCATATTACGCGGATTTGAAGATCGAAGTGACCTTGAATTTTTGAAGCTTACGAAATGATGCAATTGGAATTTTGGAAGTGATTTCGTTTCAAAATGGGTTTGGGTTTATTGAAGATTTTTGGGGTGTGCTTTATGCTCAACTTTTGGTGATCAATTTGGAGTTTTGAGAAGCTCGTGATCATTCATTGATGCTCGGTTTGTACGGACTCACATCCTAGAGCCCAAATTAAAGAATCATGGAAGAATTGAAGATTGAAGTTCGTTTCGACATGTGTCACCCTTGAGGCTCAGATCGCGTACTTGCTCGATTTTGGAAGAACTGAAGTGGGTAATTCATTCCTAACTTTGAGGGGGAGACTGTTGGGGTACAAAGTTATTCATGATTGACTTTGTAAATGTTTGACTTTTGTAGACTCACTTGCATGTGGTGTATTAGCCTTATGACACATGAGAGATAGAGAGTGAGAGAGAGACATGTAAACACCTCTATATAAGGTGGGTTTAGTCCACTTGTAGAGGTGTGCTTGAGAGGTGTAAAAGTGAGTGTGTAAGTGTGTGTTATTTATGTAGATAAGATCTAGATCCCTTTTTGTGTAACACCATACATATTCAATACATCTCTTAAACACCCAAAGTACCATGTTCATTGTGCAATCTTTAATTCCGCATGCCAAACCATGTTCTTATGTCACTATACCTAGCTTTAAGATCGAATTCATGGGATAAGATACAACATCAATATGTAGAATATCATGCAGCTTTTGCAGACACATCACCATAATATATACCTTGAGGTAAACATTTATGCTCATAAATATACCTCTTATACATAGTAATATCCTTTTGCAGAGAGGTGTTGATAGCTAACCAAAGTAAGCATAACATAGACCATGTTTTAACGAAGTTACCGCCCGAAACGCTCTTCATATACATTATGGTCAGAGAAGGTTGCAATCTTTGATAATTATGCAACTTTAATTTCATTTAACTTTTCGAGAAAAATGATTCAGGAGGGTAACCAACTGTTGAGTTTGTTCTCATTTGGTCCCTTTGTTTTTTTTTTTTTTTTTTTACTCAATATACCAGCAAACTCATTGTTTGTGTTCACCATAACCCTTTGATTGACTATCACAGATCAAAAGTCGGTCAAAAGGGTTATGGTGAAGACACACAACAAGTTGGATGGTATATTAAGTACAAAAAAAGGAAAGAGACCAAATGAAAACAAACGTAACAGTTAGTTTACCCTCAAAAGTCATTTTTCCTTTTTAAAATTAACATAAAAAGAAATTAAAAAAAGAATTAGATGAGCATATTTGTCATTTCAGGTAGGGTGTGGACCAAAACTATAAAAAATTGATAACCATAAGGACCAAAACCACATAAGGTATATAAAATTGGACCGCTGATACACCATTAAACATTTTTAGACCAAAACTACATATTTTTGCTAACCAAAAGGACCATAGACATACATACAAAACGCATAATCCAACTAAATTGTTTTAATAAATGTCATTATATTATATGATTTAAAAGTTTATAAAAGTATTTCTTTTGGTTTTAAGTTTAAGGTTGTTCGTTTGTTCCTTTAGTGATTATAAAATTAAAAGCCGATGGTGGAATCTGTGTTACTATAATTTTTTTTAAATGGTTCATATTCCACGTAACTAAGAAATGCCAACATGGTTCCGCCTCAACAAAAGAAATTCATAAAGCGTTATCATCTTTTAAAAAAAATAGGTGTGATTACAAGGGAATATGACTTATCAAGGTAATTAATTTTTCGGTACGTTCACATCTGGGTAACTATCTTTTTTTTGTACATATGTAGGTAACAAACTTTTTGAAAGTATTCACATATGACCATTATGACCTGCTATAGCAGATTAAATCCTAGATGTGAACGCTTTCAACAAGTTTGTTACCTAGATGTGTACAAATAAAATAGTTACCCAAATATGAACAAAATGAAAAGTAAAAATTAAATTACATGAATGGTCCCTATGGTTTGGGGGAATTTGTGGTTTTGGTCGCTAACTTATTTTTTTAACTTAAATGGTCCCTACTGTTTATTTTTGTCGCGCGTTTGGTCTCCGTCTTACCTAAAAATACTATTGTGCCCTTATTAATTTATTTTTTTTAATTAATTTTCTTATCTATGTATTTTTTTTACATATTTATAAAAATTAATAGACCACACATATTTGTATCTCCTCGGATGATCCCTAGTATTTATTTTTTAATTAATTAAATTTTTTAACTCGGATGGTCTCTACTATTTAATTTTGTTACGAACTTGGTCTTTGTCTTACCTAAAAAGACTATTGTGCCCTTATTAATTTTTTTTTAATTATTTTTCTTGTTTATATTTGGGTAACTATTTTTTTTTGTACACATCTATGTAACAAACTTTTTGAAAGCGTTTACATCTAGGATTTAACCTGCTATAACAGGTCATAATGGTCATATGTGAACACTCCAAAAAGTTTGTTACCTATATATATATATATATATATATATATATATATATATATATATATATATATATATATATATATATATATATATATATATATATAAAAGATAATTACCCAGATGTGAACATACCAAAAAGTTAATTACCTTGATAAGTCATATTCCCTGATTATAATGACTTTTACGTCATTATAATGCCATTTTCCCTATTTATTACCATTCATTATCGTGACATTCTATTTATAATCGAGTTTACATATTCATATTTACCCTAAATATAATTTTACTTATCTTTGTCATCCCGCGTTTATATAAATGAGTTCTAATCTAAATAGTTATCGTCAAGTGTCAATGGTATTTTGTCAATGATAGTAGTATTAAGATCATTTGTATCCTACGAACCTAATCGAAACTGATACCTTGCACACACTATACATTAATAAAAAAAATGAACTTCATAACCATAACATCGAATTGACCTCGAATCTAAACCGCAATTGCTTGAATATATATGAAATTGCTTCCAACTTATTATTAAGGTCTTATTTTTTTCCTTATATTCCATACATTGTTTTGATTCGATATTCGTTATTTATTTATTTATTTTTTTTTAATTTTCTGTGTCACCTTAAGTTTCAGACCATCATCTAAAAGTCTAGATACACCGATTTTTGGCGATAAATTTAGCACTTAGCTCTGTGACAATCCTCTTCCTATAAGGTTAAATGTTATACCTCCTTTAAAGAGGAACGAGGCCCTATTCATACATCGGAATTCGACCTCCGCACCTGAGCAGTCAGCGTTTCAGCGTTTTCTTTCTCCTCTCCCTTCCCATATTGCCTTACGAACTTTTCTTTTTAATATGTATAATATGCATTAAGCTTTGTATGTCGAAACATTAAACATGTTGAAGGAGTATGAGTTGGGTAGGCGGACAGGAAAAAGTAATAGTTGAGATTCAGAGTGAGATAAAGTTATAACAAATTCAAACGACAAAATAAAAACATTTGGAGTTGCGGGGGCGGAGGACGAGATCATGAGGATGAGAGAATGGTGAAACGGACTGTGTAGTTTGGGAGAGAATGAAAAAACTGAAATAAAGTATTGATCTAGCCAACTAAGATATTTCCACATTACAAAAACGATTTAATCCAAATGTTTTTTTACTTATGGTTTTAGTTTTGGATCTTTTTAGTTTATTTAAAGAATCAAAGAACTTTCATATAAATAAACGAGTTATTTTCGAATTGAAATTTTCAACCCTAACTTTACCCGTTTAAGTTTCGTGTCGTATCGTATCAACCCGTTTATTTAGACGGGTTGAAATATCTTGCACAAGTCCATTTATTTGGTGTCGCGTTAGTTTTAAATTTCAACTAACACCGAACTATAGCATACTCGGCTCTAAGTTTTGCCTCAAAGTGCTTATAAAGTTGTAGAACAAACCGAATTGGTTCTCAAACCGACGGGTTGAAGAGTCCATTTGTGCAGTTCTAGTTTTCTACTTTAAGAAGAACAAAAGCATAGAAAAACAATTGTTTTGGGCCCCGAAAATATATAAACGTCGGGCTGGCCTACAGTTGAAAGTTACTAATTGAGTTTAAGCCCAGAAAATCTCTGCAGCTATGGCGTTAAGTTATGCTATGTTATGATCTTATCTGCGGAGTCGTCCATCCAATTTTTTAGCGACCAGCCGACAACCATTCCGTCAATCGTCAGCCGTTTTGTTCATCTTCTCCGGTAAGCGATTTTGTAACCCGTAGTGCGATGGTGATCGGATTTTAGACGCGATGTGTTATGTTTATCTTTTCCGTTAAGTAATTTTTTCAATTGAATGCGATGATAATTAGGTTTTAGTCAGAATGTATTCTATTTGTTGTTTCCTGTAAGGAATCTTGTCAATCGTATGGGATGATAATTAGGCTTTAGGATGTCTTCTGTTGTATGTTCTCCGATGAGTGAATTTAATTAGGTTTTAGGCGGGATGTGGTTAATAAAGCATTCTGTCAAATTATTTAGCTTTTTGATCATCTGCACCATGAAGAGTAATACGTGAGTTTGATCATGTAAAGCAGAATTCGAATTTGAATTTCGGAATTGATAGTTTTTTTTATTTTAATCATGGAAACTGATCTTATGTGTCTGATATAGTTCCTGAGATGGTGTAAGGAGATTATGAGAAAAAGGGATCTGGTTTGGACACTATCTATCTAGTAATAAAAAGGGATATATATATATATATATATATATATATATATATATATATATATATATATATATATATATATATAATTTGTATTGCAGTTATGTCTCGTCGACTTAGAAAAAAGCCGAAGCGCATGAAGCCGGCTCATCTATGCGATGAGTTGATTGTTGAAATCTTCACGAGACTACCGAGCAAATCCCTCCTCCGATTTAGATCGCTCTCCAAATCGTGGTATTCTTGTATTGGTAGCCCTGATTTCATCCGCATGCACACTTTTCGATCCCAACAAAAACTCCTAATAAGACACCGAACTCATAAAGAGAATGAAGAAGGTGAACTTGAAGAGTTGTACACATTACATCCACAAGACCAATTGCCATTGTTTCACACACATGGATACAAGGATATAACACCCGTACAGTTTCCTTCCACACATTCCAATATTATTGGTTCATATAATGGACTTGTGTGTCTATTTGATTATGATGAAAAAAGTATTATTCTATGGAACCCTTCAATTAGGCGCAAACTAACCCTGCCTGATTGTCCTCGGACATGCTATTCTGAGGTGGAGATCGGTTTCGGTTTTGACCCGGTCATTGATGATTACAAGATTGTGTGTATACCCGAAAGTAATGGGAAAAAAGCAGGAAGATCTTTTGTTTATGCATTGAAGACAAACACTTGGCGTAGAATTGCTTCCGCTACGCCTTTGTTTAGTTCTATGATGACAAAGCCATGTTTTTTCAATGGAGTATTGTATTGGTTGGGACACTATGATTTGACTCGGACCTATTATCTATTGACATTTGATTTGAGTACTCATGTTTTTGGCAATATTGCATTGCCATTCAACAATGTGCTATCTGTTGCACCAACACCCATCCAAGGTCCTATACCTTCGCTAGCTGATTTTGCTAATCAGATTTGGTTGATGAAAGATGCTTCGTGGTCTGCTTTTTTGAATTTTAAAAAAGATCAAGTTGAGGCACGTTTATCAAGTGTTTTGCAACTGAGCACGAGTGATGATCTTGTTTTCTACAGCTTCTGTAACGGGTTCCAAGTTTATAATCTTAAGATTGGGGAGTTTTCAAGACTAGTGGACTTCAATGGTGCTTATTTTGTATTTGATGTTATTCAGTGTCTTGAAAGCCTTCAGTTGTTAGGCATGGGGACCGCTTGTGAGGGAAACAAACTTACCTTGTCTTGAAGGAAAAATAACCCAACTTCATTAATGGATATATTAGATGATGATGACTATTCAGGTCTCACGTGTTTATTTCACTATTTTAATATGAGATGTCGTCGACTGTACGCTTAATTTTTTTTTTTTTTTTATATTATAATTATACCTACATTTTAATCGATACGATCCCAAGTCGACCTTATAAATGTTTTCATGATTTTTTAATTCACAGGGCTAGTTTTCTTTGCATTTTAATCGATCTCAAGTCGACATTATAAATGTTCGAATCACACTGCGACTGTGTACCCCCAACCCTTCTGTTGCTTATGTAGCAAAATATTTGCGGTTTGCATGGTTGCTTTTTGGTTAACTTTTGTGCAAATATAAAAGAGTAAATTACACAAATGGTCCCTATGGTTTAGGGTAATTTTCGCATTTGGTCCCTAATTTATATTTTTAACTCGGAAGGTCCCTATTGTTTGTTTTTGTTACGCGCTTGGTCCCTATCATATATAAAAAGATTATTTTACCCTTGATTTTTTAATCTATTTAAATAAACAGATCCCCAACCCCACCCCTCTCACCTTACTTTACCAACCGTATCATTTTATCCTATTTAAATAATAGTCGTTTTGGGTAAGATAGGGACCAAATGTGTAATAAAACAAAAACAAACAGTATGGACCTTCCAAGTTAAAAAAATAAATTAGGGTTCAAACGTGTAAATTACCCAAAACCATAGGAATCATTTGTGTAATTTACTCTTGTTTTTGTTACACGTTTTGTCCCTATCTTACCCAAAACGACTATTATTTAAATAGGAAAAAATGATAGGGCGGGTAAGGTAAGGTGAGAGCGGTGGGGTTGGGGGTCTGTTTATTTAAATAGATTAAAAAAGAAGGGTAAAATAGTTTTTTTATGTATGACATGGGCCAAACGCGTAACAAAAACAAACAATAGGAACCTTCCGAGTTAAAAATATAAATTAGGGACCAAATGCGCAAATTACCCTAAACCATAGGGACCATTCGTGTAATTTACTCCAAAAACAAACGCGTAACAAAAACAAACAGTAGAGACCTTCCGAGTTAAAAAAATAAGTTAGGAACCAAACGTACAAATTACCCAAAACTATAGGGACCATTCGTGTAATTTACTCAAAATGTTAAATTGTTGAATGCATATTTCCTCATTTTTAAATTTGTTTTATTTATGATGAATATAGTATTTATGAAGAAAAAATTGAGGGTGTTAAAAGAGATCGAACCACGATCACATGAAGAAGGCGATGAAATACCTTTATGAATTGGGGAAAAGAAAAGGGAAAACTACAATAAAGTCCCTAAGTATTGCCCGTATAATCGATTTAGCCCTTATATATTTTTTTTTTGCAATTTAGTCCTAAATACCTGTAAACGTAATCAAAACGAGATATTTAATAGGTTAGCCGGTATCCCACCTTACGTGTACAAGTGAGTTTTACCCTTCCATTTCCACTGCATTCGACGTCTGGTAAATCGATTGAGAGAAAAAGATAGGGTTTTTACAGAGTGATACACGAAAGAAGTAAGGTTTTACTGAGAGAAATGAAGGTAAAACCCAATGGTTGTCGAATCAGAAGAAGTTCGCCATGAGTCATCTGAAGAATACGACTCTGAAGAATACGAAGATGATGACGAGGTGCTCGATACTGAGCACATAGATGTGGAACTGGAAGAAGATGATTTCAAGACACAGGGTAAAGAGAGATGCAAGGATGCTTTCCTTAACTTTAGTCCATTTATGGAAGGCAATGCAAGATTTGAAACTATCACGGTATTCAACTGAAGAAATTAAAAAGTCACTTAGTCTGACAGATTCACATATGAAACAACTCAATGATTACAATGACACTATTGAACAAGTTCTTCCTATGTCTATGGTAAACCCTCTATATTACCTTAATGTTTACATTCGTTTATGTTATTAATTGCTTGATGTTTTATAGGAAGAGGAGTATCCACCTCAGACAGAGACACAAGATGGGGATGAAGAAAATATCCCTGAGACACAACCAGAAAGTGAGGAAGAAGAAGAAGGCATTAATGACACCCATGAATTACCAGTACACCTTAGGATTGTGAAAAAAAGAAGGCCCTCTGAGAGGATTGTTAAAACCAAGCTGAAGAAGATGGGATGTGTTGGGACTTCTTCAAATTCACCATTGGAGTTGGATTAGGGTGTTAGGGTGTTAAGGGTAGTAAGGGTATTTTGGTACATCTTTTGTGAATGCTACTTTTGTGCATCTTTTGTGAATGCTACTTTTGTATATCTTTTGTGAATGCCCTTAAATTACTGATAACCATATTTTGTACATCTTTTGTAAACACATTGAAACATTGTGAATGCCCTTAACATGGTTGGTAATGACATATTGGAGTTTGTTGTTTAATTATTTTAGCCACATTGAAACATTGTGAATGCCCTTAATATGGTTATATTTGTCAAGTGTACACCATTTATGCAAACCAAGAAGGGCACCAACAACACCTCTGTAGTAAGATCTTGTTATTGATCTAAATGATTCTTGACCATCCTAACAAATATATAAAGAAAAAAGAAGAGATTTTTTTAAGATTTCTTTTTATAATAAATGTAACAAGAGAATAAGGTATAGAAGAAAAGAAGGAGACAAACTGTGTCCCAGATTTGGAGCTTTATTGGTTTGTTGTCAATGGTGATCATTTTAGTCCCAAATTCAACACCAATTGTTAAATCATGGTTATATTTGTCTAGTGTACACCATTTATGCAAACCATAATAACATATTGCCATTTCATTAACCGAAACATTACATGATCCACAACAACATTTATCTATTACATCATGATGATAACAAACCAAAAGATTACATCATCCCTACCATACCATAATACCCTACAACTTACACTAAACTAACCATACATCATCCCTACAATGAAACAAACAAAACAAACCATCATCCACTTGCAGAATCCAAATTCATTACTAGGCACATGTGTATTGTCACACATTGCAATTTGATTATCAGGTTCAAGAGCATTCGCAGGGGCAATAGGGACATCAACATTCACAGGGGCAATAGGGCCATCAACAGGTATTTCACCTTCATTAACAGGGTTATTAAAAGGAATAGCTACACCCCCATTAGCAACAGCTCCTAACTCATACATTCTTTCTTTATACCACTTATTCAATAGTGGTGGGTCAATCCAACGAAAATACCCACAGTCCTTCTCTTCATCCTACATAACATAGCAAGATGCATGTTTTTAACATAGAAAAATGGGAAATTTAGAGGATTAGAAGAATTTGAGTGAGTTTTGAAGATTCTATACCATGTAATTTGGGCAACCAAAAAACCTCCGACCTGGATTCTTTCGAGTCCATGATGTCCACATTCCAACCGTATCTCCACAATAGCACGTTCTGATGTTGGTGCTTGACGAACTCGACATCGATTTCCTGTTGCCAATCTGCCCTAATCGTTCGCTCCTTTGACTGGAGATTGAAGAAGACGAGCTCGATTCAATGATTTAGCCCTCTTAAATGGCACGTAGGATGTTATTTCACATGATGACTTCCACGTAAGCTGCCACATCAGTTAGATACCGGCTAACCTATTAAATATCTCGTTTTGATTACGTTTACAGGTATTTAGGACTAAATTGCAAAAAAAAAATATATAAGGGCTAAATCGATTATACGGACAATACTTAGGGACTTTATTGTAGTTTTCCCAAAAGAAAAGCCCTAATTTCCAGTTGTTTTTTTCAGTACTTCTTGAATGTACGACGGATGATAGTGGGCCGTGGATTATGAAAAACGCAAGGTGTTAACATATATGGCCTTAGATTTGAGGTCACCTATCTTTTTAATTAGTTTTCATAACAATTTATTTATGGGAACCGATACATATAAGAATCATTAAATATCATAAACATTATTATAACTAAATTAAATATAAAATTCATTTATTATAAGGAATATTGTCATAATTAAGTGTGAAATAAATTAATAATCTTCGTAATAAATGAATTTCACATTTAATTGTGATAATATTTGTGATATTTAATGCTTCTTATACATGCCATCTGGGCACATATTAGAAAATCTCTTTATTTATTTATTCATCGGATAAAAAGATAGATTTTAATTATTGAAATTGTTCGTATGGTTTGATCAAAATTGTACGTTTGCTTCCTAACTTTATTTTGCATTCAAATTGTCCATATGGTTTGACTTTGTTGTGTTTTTCGTCCTTATGGTTTGGCCAAATTTGCATGTTCGGTCCCTAACTTTATGTATGTAAATGACGAAAAACGCAACAAAATCAAACCATAGGGACAATCTAAATGCAAAAGAAAAATTATGGACCAAACGTGCAATTTTGACCAAACCATAAGACGATTTCAGTAGATTACTTTTCATTTTAATTGTAAAAGGAGAGTTTTTAACTAAATGCGTGCTTTTTAAAAAAAAAATATTTACCTAAAGATGTACTTTTAAACATATTTACCAAAAAAATGATATTTTGAAATAAATTCGCTACCCTACTCCAGAACTCCCATTTACATCCTGATTCCTCTGGTGGTCTCCATCTCCGACCAGATGTCGCCTTCTCCGGCCACACCAAATGTCGACGCTTAATCCATGTCGTTGACTGCCATCCTCCGACGCTTCCTTCCCGGCCGCTCACCTCCGATGCCTCCTCAGCTGCTACCATCTTTATCGAGATTCAAAGGTTATAAAATTTAACTTCAAATTCTTCATCTTCTAAGTATATATGATTGTAAATTAACTGTATTTTTTCTGATTTCATCTTTAATCTCTCTGATTTCAAGGTTCCATCTTTCTGGTTTTATGTTTCCTAATTTCATCTTTCGGATTTCAAGGTTCTATCTTTTATTGTTTTCCATCTTACTAATGAGTTTCAAGATTAGATCTGGATTTTTCTGGTTTCATCTTTCTATTTTTATGTTTCTTAATCTCATCTTTCTGATTTCAAGGTTCCTTATTTCTAGTTTCACGTTTCCAAGGTTTCATATTTCCTGTTTTTTCATCTTACTAATGAGTTTCATTATAGATTAGATCTGGATACGATAGCACAACAAAAACGAAATCCCTTTGAAAGAAAACTTCAAAGATGTGAGATTTCATATGTTAATTCTGTGAAAGAAATAGAGAGTTCTAAATTGTGGTTTGTTAAAGATCGATTAAAACTGTAAGTTTTTCAAGTATCAATTAGTCAAATCGGTAATGGGATCTAAGTATGTTGTACTTATGTTTGAAGACAAACAAATAAGAGCAAGAGAAGCTAGAGTCTCGTAGAGTAGACTGGAATCCCATATTTCGGCAAAACCACGTGTCTGGTTGGTTTTCTTTCTTGTTTTACGTGTATGTGATTGATTTAATTGTATGGTAAAATATCCAAATTGAAGTTGAAACCATTATAACTAAAAGTAGTTTTATATGGATTGTTTAACAAGCAAGTGTTTTCCTAGTGTATAATTTACGTGAAGTTAAAATAATGTAGCAGGTATGATGTTTTGCTTTTTTAGAAATAGAGTAAACTACACGGTCTCTATGGTTTGGGGTAATTTGTATTTTTGGTCCCTAACTTATTCTTTTAACTTGGAACGTCCATACAGTTTGTTTTTGTTGTGTGTTTGGTCCCTTTCTTACCTAAAAAGACTATTTTACCCTTGATTTTTTAATTCATTTAAATAAGATGTGGTAGGTAAGGTAAAGTGAGGCGAGGTGGAAGTGAGGTTAGGGATGTGTTTATTTAAATAAATTAAAAAAAATTAATAACAAAATAGTTTTTTTATGTAATACAATGACCAAGCACGCAACAAAAACAAACAGTAAAGACCTTCCGAGTTAGGGATGACAATGGGTACGAGTATACCGGGTTTCGTGCTCCCCATCCCCATACCCGAACCCATCCCCATCCCCGTACCCGGCCCCATCCCCATCGGGGATTAAAAATCTATCCCCATCCCCATCCCCAATGGGTAATCGAGGATTTTTCCCCGTTACAAAGTTTTGAATTTTTATGAAAAATAACTAATAATTATATACTAACCAACAAAACAAAAACTAACAAAACTACTATAAAACACTATAATCATTGAATGTTTTCAAACACGAACAATAACATTCAAATCATTTTTTGCAAAAAAAGACATAAAAATTCTTCCCAAAACTATACGTTTAATTGTTAAAAAACATTACTTTGTCTACTGAAAGTTTGCTTATGCCTTATTAAAAATAAAAACATAAGTAATACTATATATATATATATATATATATATATATATATATATATATATAGGGTACCCATCGGGGCCGGTTTCGGGTACGGGTATGGGTACCCGACAGGTAGAACCATCCTCATCCTCATCCCCGCTTTTTATATTCGGGTAATACGCATCCCCGTCCCCATCACCGGTCAACTCAGGGATTTACCCGGTCAACTCGGATTAGGGTTTTGGGTACCCATCGGGTACGGGTTTTTTTGCCATCTCTATTCCGAGTTATAAAAATAAGTTAGGGATAAAATGTGCAAATTACCCCAAACCATACGGACTATTCGTGTAATTTACTCTTAGAAATATCTTTAATCAAATATATATATATATATATATATATATATATATATATATATATATATATATATATATAGAGAGATATAGATAGAGATGTTCAAGTATTCTAACTAACTATTGTATGGGTATAGAAATAATTGGTAAGCCAATCATTTCAAAAGTGTGGTTAAGGGTATAACAATAATCTCTGGTATTTAAAACTTTTAATATCATTAAAGTAATAGATTTAGTTTCTTCACCCTAAAAAACCACAAATCCCCACCAATATAGACACACGTCATCTTCTTTGTTTCTCATCCAACGCCTCACACCTGTCGTTCATTATCTTACCACCTCAACTCTCTCGCCAGAACAAGATCAAAATTAGTTGAGAAAATTTATCTTCATCTCTTATCACAATAGAATGGAGTGAGCTTAGCTTTTGGCACCTACTTCTCAAGGTTCTCTATTTTACCATTGTGATCTTATTGAAGATTGTCAAATAGAAGTTCAATATTGTTCTCTTTTGGAAGGCGATCAAGGACATAATTTGCCTTACAGGAATTTGATGGGAGCACAACTTCTTCATGATTTGACTAGTTAAGATTTGAGAACTTATATTTATTAAAATAGTTCTAGTCATATATAAATATTTAAATTGAAAAGAAAATACGGGTCTTATAATTTTCAATTCTAGGTTCCTTCTAGCTTTGATTATAAGGATATACTTCAATTGGCTTTAGATTTACAGCCAAATTTAGAATCCTTCAATGGCTAGTATAGCTTCTGAAGCTTTTCGTCTTGGTTCAATTTGATGGGCATTTTAGTCATTTTTCTTTAGTATATGTTAAAATGGAAACCGGTTACATGGGAAATCTTCTGTTGATTTATTGCAAGAGTATTAACTTCCTTCTCCTGTAGGCATCATGATATTCTTTTATATGACACACCTACCTTTTTTATTTAATAAATTTTTAGCATCGTTTATTTCAATTTCACAAGAAATGACATGGATTAATAAAATATTTATTGTCAAATTTTATCATATATATTTTTCCAACGTATTGTTAAATAGAATCAGATTTTTTTTGTCCTCTTTTTTCTTGTTTTGTTCGCAAGACTTCAACACGGGTCAAATCATATGAAAGCACAATTTAACTGATCAAGGCTTTCATGGTTGAAGATTAGATGATGGTGAGTGTGATATAGATGAACAATGGTCATTGGTCTTCACAAAAAAAGAAAGAATTATTTTTCGTTATATTCCGATAGAATAATCTACAATAGAATGGTATTGTAACACCGTGAAATTTCAAAACAATTTTTCATTTTTAAAGCATATTTTTTATCAATAAGTAATACAAAACATGAGGTGTCCACTGTTATTACATCAAAACATTTCCCAAGATCTCAATACATAAACTTCATAAGTGTGTACGAATCATGTCGGCACCTTCCCGCGATCATCACTGGTACCTGAAACACATACACAAGCACTGTAAGCATAAATGCTTAGTGAGTTCCCCAAAATACCACATACAACACATACGCCTTTCCAGGCTATAACTCTATAGGATCTTCTCATCCAAGTGTCTCAGGGGATTTCCATCCCATAACTTTGTTGACCTTCCGGTCCATACTCTGTTGACCTTCCGGTCCACATCATCATAATCATATCATAACATATCACATATACAACATGTATCACATATTCATCATACACATAAGACCTTCCGGTCACACATAATTACCCCATCGGGTAAGGCATAGTGAAAAGACTCACCTCGAAGATGTCGGATAAACACTCATGCTCAATCTTCCGACCTCGCTTCCTCCTATAACATAAATACATCTCTAATTATTACTTCCCTGACTTAGTTTGACTAATACTCTTAAATCAACATAAGTCAACTCTGGTCAACGGTCAACTCTTAACCCAACTCGTCGAGTCATGCAACACCTCAGCGAGTTCAGACGTGAACTCCAATTCCTTAAATCCGATCTGACTCACCGAGTCACTCGCCCAACTCGGCTGGTCACCAACTGACATGAGTCACGGATCAACCCAGTCTGACTCGTCGAGTCTACTTATGGACTCGGCGAGTCCATTCCATACTCAAACAAAAATGACCTTATGAGGTCAGATTTGTTCCTCTAATCCATAGATATATCCTTCCCAAGCCCAATAACCACGTAAAGTCTGAACCTTGACACTCATGCAATGTCCATATGACTCTATTTGATGAAATAGTTTATAAAATGGCATTCTAGGTTCATTTCCTCCATGGAATAACATAAAGCATGATTGATAATGCTCTCTGGACCTCTAAAGGTCCAGATCCAGAGTCTAACACCCAAAGGGACAACTTATATATCATTACAAGCAAATAAAAGGGGTTGGGAAAACCCTAGATTCAAGGTAATTAACAATTACACGAGATTAAGCACATATTGATACCTCTATCAGCTCCATCTGACCAAAAGATAGCAGATCTAAGCTCCTCAATCCTCCTAGTATGCCCTCCTTCCTTCTCTATTGCTAAAACACTCAAGAAATGATGAATTAGCCTTCCTCTTGCTCCACAAATGATCTCTCTGCCCTCTAGGGTTTCTCAGGGGTGAAGTGGCCGCAAATGATGGCTATAAGGGCCCTTAAATAGGGCTCAGGCCCTGAGATTTAGGGTTTCGCATAACAGCGTGGACTCGTCGAGTCCCTTCATTAATCTAGTCAACCAATCGCGATCCTACTCGACGAGTCTATGCATCGACTCGTCGAATCCCTCCTTATGACTTCAAAAGAAATAATCAAATTAACATGCCTGGAATTCCAGATGTTACAATTCTCCCTCACTTAAAATAGATTTCGCCCTCGAAATCGCTCCTCAACCACATAGATAGAAATCAAACACTCATAAAGCTCCACTGAGAGGCTATCCCATCAAACGTTATCTTTCTCCCTGCATACCTGAATCCGCCCAGGTACTCCAAATTTGGAACAGAACCGGCTCCTCTGCCGCTAAAATAACCATTTCGAACCTTCCCTGAACAAGAAATCCTTGTGGCCTGGCCCGCTGCCAGACCGCCCACTCAAGCTATCACCATGATATTCGCCCTTCGAACATCAAACCCTGATAAC